TCTGTCTGTAGCTGTCTGTCTGTAGCTGTCTGTCTGTCTGTAGCTCACAGCTGGACCACGCAGACTGTTGGCTACCCAGGCTGCTCAGCAGGTGACTCTAAATGTTCCTGAAACCAAGGTGACCACGTTAGAAAACGGACTGCGGGTGGCTTCTGAGGACGCCGGGCTCACGACCTGCACAGTGAGTTTACACACACACACACACACAGTTTATACTCTCACAGCGTGTGTGTGTATGTGTGTGTATGTGTGTGTGTGTGTGTCAGATCTTCTTAATGGAGATTAACACTTCTAATGGGAATCAAACACTAATCCACTGAGACCAGTTGGAGCCAGCAGTGGTGGAGGAATTCTAATCTAATTAAGTAGAAGTACCAATATCACACTGTTAAAATACTCCATTACATCGTTTAAAGCAACATATAACAGCGTCACTGACTGTAACAGAATCAATGCCTCCTCTTTATTCTTGCACTGTGTAACTTTTGGCTCCGGGTCGGAACAAGTGTGTAACACTATGGGACTGATTTTATGGAGAAAAAGTATCTGGTTTTCCCTCTGACGTCCTCCGACTGCTCCTCCTCAACTCTCAGTGATTTACAGAATTCCTTGATGGACAGTAAAGTAACTGCCGGGGGAGTGTTGGGTTTATACTGGTAGCACAGGAGCTTTGAGTAGGAGAGTGGCATCAGCGCCGTGCCGGAGCTGGGCGAGGATGGAAAGACCTGAACACAAGTTATATTCATAACAGCCTCGTCCTGCATTAAAAAACAACCAAAGAGCTGATAGAACAATGAGAAAAACAACTGTATTTATCCCAAAAAGACGCCTATTAAGTCGTTATGATTGTTAAAAAGGTTAAAAATACAAAATACAGACTGAAAATTGTACAAAAGCTATCAGTGAAACTAATCTCTGAAATAAGTTATTGTGTTCACTGTTTGTGTTCATTGTTTAGTTTATCAGCTGTTCTCTCCTGTTATTGTTATTGTTATTGTTATTAATGAATATAATGTGAATCAAATGTGTAATACTCATTGATAGAAAAGGGCTCCTTTAAGGAAGCAGTGGCAGTGCACAATGTGTGTGTGTGTGTGTGTGTGGTGACAGTGAATGGAGGATTGTGCGGAGGCGTCGATGCCTCCTGCGATCGGAGAGGCTGGTACAGAGGGAGGGAGGGAGGCCGACCTTCCTCCCTCCCTCTGTCTCTGTGTGAACAAACACTCTGGATGTTGTTCAGAATAAAACCTCCGTCCGTCCTCTGAGGATAAAACCTCTCCGTTAAACTCTGCTGCTCTCAGGTCAGCAGGGTCCTGCTGGAGTCCGGGGCTGAAGGTACAGTACAGTTCCAACCTCTATTGGTTCTTCCTCTTCCTACAGAGTCATGTCTGAATGATGTTTGAATGATGTCTGTGTAGAGTTTGACTCTAGAAGGATGTTTTCACATTCATCTGCTGACAGTGGAAAGTTTCTCTGATCTTATTTTAAGGGGCAGGGCCTACGAGCATGATTCGTGACATCACAGATAGTTTTTAGGAAGTCAACCTGGTCCAGTATCAAACTTCTACAGTGAGATCCAGCAGTGCTCAGACACTGAGGATGGACTTTACAGTACAGGAGGAGACATCTTGTGTCCAGCAGAAAAAAAACACATATTTCTAGATTTTGTATTTTTGAATGAGGCAGAAGGAGTAAACTTCTTAAGGATTCAAATTCAGAAATTATACCGTTTTTGGTTGGTTGGTCATTTGTTGATTTGAATTGTGAGCTGAGAACACCCCGGGTCAACTCACATTTGGACAGTCAAATCTTTGCACCTATGTATTGTATTTGCAGCACGTCAGACTGTTACAATCCGAGTCTCGAAATTACCACGAAACTAATTGATGGAAGTGACACTTTGTTTTTATTTTTATTGTATAAAAAGTTCCCTAAAATAGGAAATAATCTGCACTAAATTCATCCAAATCACAAATTTTCTACAAACTTCCTGCAGTTACTGAGCTCACTGTTTGGGTTCATTGTGCAGTTTTGAATATAATATGAAAGTCAGAGGTCGTCAGTTTACTAAATGATAGAAAAGGTTGGGAACCAGTGCTCTAATATGTCAGTCTCACCAAATTAAAAGCACATTCTAACATTTCTAACAGATAAAATAAGAGATGAAACTCCTAACCTTTGAGGCATTGCCCTTTAAGGAAGCTGTCCTATCGGTATAATTGTGGTTTTGTGCAGCTCAGCGGGTACAGCAAGGCACCAACACTGCAGCAAGAGGCTGGAAAACAGAAAGAAGAGGGAGGTTCAGGGCCTGTTTGTCTCTGTCAGAGGACGTCAACAAATAACTGCATCTTGTCACTTATTTGTCTTTGTCACAGGACTTTTTATTACTTTTTACAAGTTATAAATATGATAGATGTGCTGCTGTGATTCTAACTGTGGGAATGTGCACTGGAGTGAGATCCTCTGACCACCTGTGTCCACCTGTGTCCACCCTCAGGTACCTGCAGGAGGTCGGATACACTGACACCATCCTGGATGTGAAGTCTCAGAGAGTGAGAGCGCTGCTCGGTCTGACCGGAGAATCAGGAGACAAACCCTCAGAGAAGAAACCCGAACCCATGGTGAACGGCACCGAACCGTCCTCCCTGAAGGACAGCGGCATGGTCAGGTATGAGGACAGATAGTAGTGACAACAACACTGTTTATATTGTTGTTTACAGGCGGCCATGTTGGAAGAACTACACCAACCCTACTGTATTTTCACTCCTTTAATCCTCTCGCTGCTTTTACCACCAGACTCTCCTCCTTTATGGGGCCATCTCATATTTTTGGAAAAAAGGTTGAAACTCCGTGTTTGAAAGCTTTAAATCTAATAAAAAAGGTTTTAAACGATTGTACGTGCTGAATGATGAATCCCACTAGAGCTTAAATTGGAGGCTTGTGGCTGACTGTGTGTTTATTAGCCTTTTTTGTTCTAAAATTTTAAACGTATTTTTCTGTCTGTTGGACGAACAGTTTGTGGACTGTGGAAACTATATGTTTTGTTCTTATCTTGGTACGAGCACTCTTGTTAAAAAACCTCTGTGAATCCCAGAAATCCGTGGATACGAACCAAAATAAGAGAAGATGTGTTTGTGTTTTTTGAGTCCTCTTATTTTGTGTTTCAGTTTTCCTTCTTACCAAGTGCAGCGCTCCTTTACAGAGTCTGAGAGTCTCAGATTTGTTGCTGTTCTCTTGGTGGATTAAAACCTTGTGTTTGTGATCTGGTGCGAATATGTTGGGAAAAACTAAACTTTCAAGAGGGCGAATCTTTATTTTGAAACTTTTCCAGATGTAGATTTGCACTCGTACTACAGACTGTTCTTACAACACAGTCACACAGTTGTAGGCCTGCGACACGTTGAAGCGTAGCACCAATAGCTCCACTATCAATAAAATCCCATCATATCTTTTAATGCAGTATTAATTAGTTCTGGGTTGTATCTAGAAGTAAATTCTTTATGCTGGGACTCTTTCTGAAGCTGGGACGCTGAGCAGCCGGAGCAGCAGATGCAGCAATAGCAAACATTTTCTTCAGGAAATACATATGCAGCCCAAAATCACAGTTTGCCTCTGGAGGCTTTACAGTGGAGTCTGGTGGCTTTGAACCAAGTGATTCAATGGTTGTTTCTGGTTAAAGAAAAGGTATGTCTCTGTGGGGAACCTTTCCATACTGTTGGAAAAAACAAACACCTTTAGTGGATGTACTTTGACGGTTGCATTTGCAGTGACCTACTCCAACAATTAAACATTTTAGTAGGCTGACCAAATAATGCTCGGTATAACCGATATGTCCTGATGATTAATTTCTCTGTGCAACCAAACAGATCAGTCGCAGAAAGAAAACGACAGGATTCAGGATAGTGATTATCATCTTTATTGAAAAGAGTCCAGGACCCGCTGATTCATATTTTATGAAATCTGTTGAAAGACCTCAACTGAATGACGACTCTTACTCAGCAGGCTCGCCCTAAAAAAGAGTGAAGAATGCAAATTAGCATAACAAAATTATAATGTAAAATGTAGAATGTGATGTAAAAAGTAAGTTTATTTTTTCATGTGGAAACTCAAAAATAAACTGATTTGGGTACTATTCAAAGCGCTATATTGATTTACACTGTTAACAATGAAAGAGCACAGCATCAAATCCTTCTGACTTCTAATGCTAATGCGATTGCTCTTGTGATCACACAATCAGCAAAAGATACCTTTCCAGCCTCCCGGCTCTTGGCTCTCAGCTTGTTGACCTGCGACTCTGCGATGTCGGCGCGCTCCTGAGCTTCCTCCAGCTCATGCTGAACCTTTCTCAGCCTGGACATGTGGCCGTTGGCCTGCTCTTCCTGTGAAGTGTTGGGCGTAGTTACAGGACAGTTAATAGCGATGTTTTTATGCAGTCAACTGTAAATCATGTGTGACATTATGTAGCTTACAGCCTCCTCAGCCTGTCTCTTGTAAGCTTTGACTTTGAGCTGCAGCTTGTCCACCAGATCCTGAAGTCTGGTCACATTCTTCTTGTCCTCCTCAGTCTGTACACATTCAGGGTTATAGTAAGTGACGAAGTATAGACAATTAAAGAACATTTAGGGTATTGTTTTTCTCAGTAGGAATTACCTGGTACGTCAGCTCCTTCACTTTTCTTTCATATTTGCGGACTCCTTTAACGGCGTCGGCTCCACGTCTTTGCTCAGCTTCAACTTCAGTTTCCAGCTCACGCACCTGAATAGTAATGATAAAGTTATATATCGGTATTATGCAAAAAAATATAAGCAAGCTCTGATAAAAGTAGACTTTATTCCGCATAGTGAGAGTGTAATATGTAGAGTCCTACAACCCAGAACCGAGTAGGCATTTTAGCACCTCCACTTCCCTCGCCAATGGAAAAATCTCATTGGCTTTTTGTGGAAGGAACCAGGGCGATGTCATCCCCACAGCACTTTATTGTGAGTTTCTGTGTACAGAGCTTACCCTTGACTCAAGTTTCTGGAGCTGCTTCTTGCCNNAGGTTCTCAGCCTCATCCAGACGGTGCTGCAGGTCCTTGACTGTGACTTCCAGGTTCTTCTTCATCCTCTCCAGGTGAGCACTGGTGTCCTGCTCCTTCTTCAGCTCCTCTGCCATCATGGCGGCCTGGAACGATAAATTGCGTCTAATTCAAGTTTGTTCTGAAAAAATGTATTGAACACATACAAGTTAGACCACATTGTTGTAAACCCACATCAGTGATAGCCTTCTTGGCTTTCTCCTCAGCATTTCTTGCTTCCTGAACAGTATCATCCACTTCACCCTGAACCTGGACAAGGTCAGCCTCAAGCTTCTTCTTGGTGTTCATAAGGCTTGTGTTCTGAATGATGGTATTTAAAAGAACAGATATTTAATAAAGGATTTAGATAACTCAGAGGACGTATTCTCTTGTGTGTAACAGACGACACACCTGTGAGTGAAGCAGTCCGACGCGCTCACTGGCATCAACCAACTCCTGCTCAGCCACTTTGCGTCCTCTCTCTGTCTGTTCCAGAGCAGCTCTCAGCTCCTCAATCTCAGCCACCATCAGACCATTTCTGCGCTCCACCATGGCGACCTGCTCCTTCATGTCCTCCTGGCCTCTAATAGCCTCATCAAGGTGCAGCTGAGCATCCTGACAACAAAAGAAGAAAAAGCAATGAACCGTCTGTACACTTTGTCTTTTTGCTTTTTAAGTAAATGATCATATAAACCTCACCTTGAGCTGTCCCTGGACATTCCTCAGTTGTTTCTGGGCCTCAGCAGCCTGCCTGTTGGCATGGCTCAGCTGAATCTCCATCTCATTTAGGTCTCCCTCCATCTTCTTCTTGATTCTCAGGGCATCGTTCCTGCTCCTGACCTCAGAATCCAGAGTGCTCTGCATGGAGTCGATCACCCTCTGGCTGTTCCTCTTGATCTGCTCCATCTCCTCATCCTTCTCTGCCAGCTTCCTGTCAACCTCACCTTTGATCTGGTTGAGCTCAAGCTGAACACGGAGAATCTTGGCCTCCTCATGCTCCAGTGTACCCTTGGTGGGATCAAATTCTAAAAGTTAATAACTCCAGATTTCCTCTAAACATATCACATTTGATTTTATAGAAGCTGAAAATACTAACAGTTTTTTCATTTTTTAAATTTTTTTCCCTCAACAAAACTTCTAAAGTCATAATTAAAAAATATGCATGCCTATTCTCATTATACAAGTTAGATTAGACCAACATAAGAATGGCTGGGTGGTTTTTATGACTCCTGACGTCTCTGTATACCTCAGCTTCCTCCAACGCGGTCTGAATTTCAGACTTCTCAGTCTCCACAGTCTTCTTGGCCTTCTCCAGCTCATGGATGCTCTTGCCAGTCTCACCAATCTGTTCAGTCAGATCTGAGATCTCCTCTGCAGAGAAACCAAAGCAAAACAAATAACGCCGTTAAGTGTATACAATCAATATTGTGTATCTATGTATAAAGTATGAAAGTTCACATACGTTGGAGGTTCTTGTTTTCACGCTTCATGGTCTCCAGGTGATCCAGAGCCTCCTCATAAGAGTTCTTCATCTTGAAGAGCTCAGTGCTGAGAGAACGAGCCTCCTTCTGAGCTCCCTCCAGCTCTGCCTGGCTCTCCTCATACTTCTGCTTCCATTCTGCCAAGACCTAGAATTATATAGACGAGTAAGAAATTACAACCTTGCAGGCCATCCAGGTAGCTCACCTGCTAGAGTGAACTCCCCATGTACTAAGAGTCCTTACCAGTGCTTGAAATGGATGTTATTCATAATCCAGGAGGTATGGACCTCAGATAATATACAATAAAAGTTGTGAAATAATTCTCTAAAAATAACCACTCCGATGTCACCAAACACCCCTAGCAGGTTCAGTTTTTGGACGCTGGTGTTTCTAAAAATACAGCGTACATACGTACAGCAATGTTGAAGTGTTTGAGTGCCTGCCTTTTTCCAAACAGTTACCTTGTCAAAGTTCCTCTGCTTCTTGTCCAAGTTGGCAGCCAGCCCATTGGCTCTCTCCACATCAATCATGAGGTCCTCCACCTCACTCTGGAGCCTCTGCTTGGTTTTCTCCAAAGAAGCACACTTGGAATTCACTGCCTCAATCTGTTCCTCAGCCTCCTGAAGGCGCTGGGCCAGCTTTTTCCTGTAGTGAACAAGCAAGGTTGTATTTTTACTTACAAGTGTATTAAAATCAAATAAATAAAATGTTTATTGAACAGTAGAAAGCTTTTACTAACTTTGCCTCCTCCAGCTCCTCTGTGCGCTGGATAGCATCAGTCTCATATTTAGCTCTCCATTGAGCCACCTCACTGTTGGCCTTGGACATTCCTCGCTGCAGCTCAGCCTTGGCCTCCTGCTCCTCCTCAAACTGCTCTCTGAGCAGATCGCAGTCATGGCGAGCGGACTGAACAGAATGGGCCAGGGCATTCTTGGCCTGTTGAGAATGACAAGAGACCCTATTAATTGAAAATAGGGACTAGAGGTACCATAAAACCTTCTTCCACAAGATGTTTGTTTTCATACCTTAACTTCCTCCTCAACATGCCTCTTAAGCTCTTCAATCTGCTGAGTGTAGGCCTGCTTGCCCCTGGTCAACTGGGAAACAAGAGCTTCCTTCTCTTCCAGCTGGCGGGAAAACTCACCTAAGTAACAATGTATAAATTACTTTGTGAAAGGGATGAACCTACCCACAGAGTGCTTTTCTTTACAGGTGTACGGGTGCACTCACCATTCTCCGTCTGCAGTCTGGCCTTCTGTGTGTTAATGTCATTCAACTGGCGGACATTCTCATCATTTTTGGATTTGAGTTCACTCAGTTGGTCCTCAAGAGTACGGCACATTTTCTCCAAGTTGCCCTATGAGAAATAAATGTGCTATATTTACTATATATTAAGTAATACAAACACTTTTCAAGATTTGTTTGGTACAATTCTTGGATCCTAACCTAATTACTGCCCTCATCTAAAGAGAAATTATTTGTAAGAATCTTTAAACTTGAGGGTAGAGAGCTAAAACTTAAACCCCTCACCTTTGCTTTAGCAACAGCCTCCATGTTGCTGGAGAGGTCATCAATCTCCATCTTGTACTCGCTAAAGAGAGAGTTGATGCTCTTGTCTTTAAATTCCTAAAAATCAGCTATCATTAACTGTCATGTAATGAGCTCGAGGGATCACTGGAATGCAAAAGAAGAAGCTCCGCATGGACTGAGAGGGCAAAGAGGAAGTTGAGGGAGATCTGAAACGGCCCAGGAATCCATAATGGATTCTAGAGAATTACAAACAGCAATCTGAGGGAAAAAATTCAAGAAGTAAGATTTTTGTTTGTTTTAGGTTATTAATTAGTCTTACAACAGTACAAACAGTGACACTGAACACTTCTTGATATCCCATCAAGGAAAGAATTTTGGAGATCAAGCCTAGCTCTCAGGCAAGATTGAGGATGACAGTCTCTTGGTGCACAACTTCAGAAGAAGAAATCAAGGAGCTCCAGGTGACATATTCAACAACACATTACAGATTAGATGCCTTCCAGTTATAGAAAAACATTATATTCCAATTATCAAATTCTAAAATCATCAATCATCAAATTTAGGCTCGTATTGAGGAGCTGGAAGAGGAGATTGAGGCTGAGAGGGCCGCTCGTGCTAAGGTTGAGAAGCATGAGGGCTGACCTCTCCAGGGAGCTTGAAGGAGATCAGCGAGAGGCTTGAGGAAGCCGGTGGAGGCAACGGCTGCTCCAGATCGAGATGAAAAAAGCGTGAAGCTGAGTTTCAAGAAGCTGCGCGTGATCTTGAAGAGTCCGACCAACTGCAGCATGGAACAACCGCCAGCAGCTTCTCCGCCAAGAAGCAGGCCCGACAGTGTGCGGAAGCTGGAAAGAGCAGATCGACCAACGCTGGCAAGCGTTCAGCAGAAGCTGAGAAGGAGAAG